GAGAGAGAGAGAGAGAGAGAGAGAGAGAGAGAGAGAGAGAGAATATCAACTAAAGGGTAACACAATATTTACAAAGACAACTACAATGAACACAAATTACATATCCAAAACCACAAAATAACCGAGCTTCCATTTTTTTTGGGGGGGGGGGGAGATTAGTTTTGAGACAGGGTTTCTTTGTGTGCCTATGGCTATCCTGGAACTCGCTCTTCAGACCAGGCTGGCCTCAAACTGAGGGATTGTCTGCTTCTGCCTCCCAAGTGCTAGGTTTAAAGGAGTGTGCCACCACTGTCTGGCAACACATTTTTTTTTTTTTTTAAGATTTATTTATTTATTATGTGTACAGTGTTCTGCCTGCATGCCAGAAGAGGGCACCAGATCCCATTGTAGATGGTTGTGAGCCACCACGTGGTTGCTGGGAATTGAACTCAGGACCTCTAGAAGAACAGCCAGTGCTCTTAACCTCTGAGTCATCTCTCCAGCCCCAACAAATTATTCTTATATGAAGTATCACCAAAATTACCAGGGTAGCTCTATTTTCCTCGAGGTCAAATTTGGAAAACTCAGTGTCCATTAACAGAACAGTATTATGTTAAGAGCTATGGTCACCTGTATCAAGTTCCACACACATACTCAGCCAATCATATTTAGATAATATTCAAGAAAAAAATTACATCTGTCCTAAATGCTTTTTTTAATCACCCAAACATGGCATAATTATTGCACAACATAGCATAAATATAAGTATTCTAGGAGATTATATTTCAACCTTACATGGGGTTATGCATTAGATTATATGCAAATACAATCACTACCCTATTTCAGACTACCAGTGGGTTTTGATGTCCACTGGGATCTGAACCAGTATCATGCAGACACTTTCAGGTATAATTGAAAGCTACCTAACTCATCACATACCCTGAACCACTGCTTTAATGAGTTTCCTCAAATGAACAAGATATCCATTTCATCAGTGGTTGGTTCCTTGTCCACATATCAGAAGCCTGACAATGATCTGAATTCCCAGTATTTAGTCATGAATTAAAACTTACCACAAAGTTTTCTCTCCAAAGCAATAAATGCTCAGACTTATACTAACCATATCATTAATAAGGCCGATTCGTGTGGGTGGGGCTTGAAGACCTAGCAGTGTTGCAAGGCGCCGCTGCTTCTCAACTATAATACCATCCATATCCAGAAGTCGAGCAATATCAGTTCGCTCAGGAGTAATAGGTATAGAAAGAGTCGCCAAAAGGACTCTAGTGGACATTCTGTGGTGAACAAAGTTTTATTTGTTAATATTATAAATGTGTTTCTCTTTAATTATCTATTGTATGCCATCAACAAAATATACGTAAGCACACCATGGACAGCTGCATTCATACTAGTTATTCCAGCATACCACAGTATTAGAAAACTGAACTTTGAGGAAATGAATCCTTATAAACTCAATCTCATCAACACGCTGAATGTGGCCCAACAGCAGTAAAGACATATTTCCTTACCAAAATAATTAAAGGTAGCTTTAGAAACTAAGAAAATGGACTTTAAGTAAACACAATTATGACAGAGAATGCAAAGGGAAAGAGAACCTAACTAACTTTTTACTTTCCTGAAACACAAGTCTGCACTTTAGAATGCTAAGTTGCATAGGTGCCCAGGAGCCTACATAACATACACAGGAGTAAATGACCTGCTGCTGCTAACCAATATTACAGCATTCATGGGAAGAACAGCATTAACTCCCTTAAGGAAAACCATTTGGTTGATTTCATATTCTTCTACAAAACTAAGAAAAACAGATACACATTTTAAAAAGCCAGTTTACTAATACAAGAGCAAAAAAGCAAATGTGAATTGCCTATTTTGTGTAAGACAATAGGTTCCATTCCTAGCTTGACCAAAAAAGGAAAGAAAAAAGAAAGCAACTGAAAAGAAATTAAGCTATATGTGATAGGGTTTGTTGTAGATTTTTCCTTGTTGGAAGAGGTCTTGCTATGTAGTTGAAGCTAGCCTAGTTTTTAACTTTTGACCCTCCCGCCTCAGTCCATGTGCTAAGAGGTATGTGCCACCCCACCATTCAACCTATACTATGATTTTCTTTTTAATAGCCTACAAGTTGCACACACCCTTTTATTTTTGAAATATGTTTTCATGCCTATCTCCCAAATACTATCCATTTTATGACTCACATGCCCATATTTTTTACCATACTACAAAAGAAATGGAAATTTTTATCTTTTCCCAGGCTAGTGACATAACGTGTAGTATTTTTGAAAAAGCAGCAGCAATCAATGATCCACAGCTCCTAGCCAGCCATGCATTCCTAAGAGTATACAGACCCTCTTCCTCCCCTGTTAATAGTAGGTCAGTCTAATATATCCTTATTTAACACATTTTCTTTCAACTTACCAGTAGATTTACCAGGATATAACCTAACACAAGTCAAGTGCTTTAACTACAGTTACTGTTTTATAACCAAGAAAGAAAAGAACTTGATGGAATTACCTAATTATCCAACTTGCTCTAAGAAGATGATCTACCAATACATGGATAGAAGGTTCACATGTTAACATTACCTCTGTGAATACACAACTTTCTCAATTGGGTTTCCAGTGGCCTTTTTTTCTGGGGTCGGGAAAGGTAGAAGATGGCTCAAGAATACTCTCCAAGGAGAGTAATGTCTCAGAGACACTTGGTGGTCACAATTAGAGATTGCTCCTGGTCCCTAGGGATAGCTGCTAAACACTCTACCAAGCACTAGCAATATACCACAACAGTATTAGCCAATCTAAAATGTCCAGAAGCGAAGATTGGACCACACTACCACTTAGAAGTTTAATTTCATTACCATCTAACTATAACATTCTTACCTTTGCATCTCATCTTGTGTAAGATTCTTTCTCATTTCTCTAGACAGATGATAAAGACGATGAAGTGTAGATGCATGAAACAGAGCATTTCCAGATTTCCAAAACACTGTTGAGACTTTGTTATAGTAATTTGCCATCAACTGAGGCTTAGGTGGTTTTTTAGACAAGGAAAATAACCCATGAATATCTTCCACAGCTTTGAAGGC